GGCCAGGGCTCTGGGGCTGTCCTAGAGATAACAAGCGAGAGCCAGGGAACCTCGCCTGGTGAACTAGGAGCAGGCAACCCCTAGTTTGGGTCCTGCCTCAGCCACTCCCTGGCTGGGAGTATAAGGTTTCCTTGAGTGTCCCTCTTCCCCTGAGAACAAGCCCCTCCTCCTCTCACTGCCCTAACAAGCTCTTTCCAGCTCCCCTGGGCTGAAGCCACTGGGCTTCCCTGAGCCTCTGTTTCCGGAACTAGCAGGGGAGGAGTGCCCAGCACAGCCGGCTGCCCGGTCTCTCCAACTGTCCCACTGCTCCTGAACAAGAAGTCTTGACACGGGCAGGCAGGATATTACCTGCAAAAAAAAAAAGTGGTGGGGGGGCACGGAGTCCTAGGCAACCGAAAAGGGGCACGTGACATCTTCTGTGATCCTCACCAGGGTCCCAAGTGGGTGGGCACCGCGGTCATCCCCATTTCCCAGATGGAAAAAACAGACACAGAATTCTGTCCTAGGTCACACATCTACAAAGTGGGGGAGCAGGGATTTGAAGCCAGATCTCGCTCCGGAGCCATCACATGCTTGCCCTTTAAAACTATGACCTCATTCTTGTCCCCCCCTTCCCAGTAAGGCCTCACCCCTCCCCTGAGGACAAGCTACACACACACACACACACACACACACACACACAGGCCTCCACTTCTCTCCCTGTCCCAGTAAGCTCCTCTCTGTCCCTTCTCAGGCTGCAGCCCGGGGGGTGTCCCCTGCAAGGACCAGCTCTGAAGCTTTATCCCAGGCGCTGCTCCCCCCACATCTGAGCAGGAATCAGAAAGCCAAACTTGCTGATGCAGTTGCTAGAATTAAGGCCAGGCAGCAGAGTGCACACCCTGGTCTCCCACCCCCACCCCCCACCCCGCCTGCTTCTGGGCCACAGAGCTGCCTCTGGCTAGGAGGGGGCCCCCACTGACTCCTCCGCCAGGGCAGGCCCCTACAGACCTGGGCACTCACTCCCCGTGACTTCTAGAACAGTGGCCACCGCTTCTAGACCAAGTCCCCAGGGCCAGGCATTGCTCACATGTGTCACATCTCTTGACACATTTAATCCTCACAATCCTTCTCCTCGATTCCTCTTTCATCACAACCCCTGGGTCCGCAGCTGTAACACACGCTCACAGATAGAGCACCCACATGGACCAGTTCTAGCTCGGTGGGGTGGAAGTCTGACCCGACCTCACAGGCTGGAATCACGTACCAGCAGAACGAGAGCCTCTAAAGGGTCCTACGGAGGCTCCGTGCTCTCTCCTTTTCCAGATTCCGGGATGGCCGTTCGCGTTCCTGGATTCATAGCCCCGCCCCTCCATCTCTAATACCCCCTCCTCTGTGTGCAGAGAGCTACTCCGAGGGGGTTGCAAGCTGTGGCCTTTAGGGAACAATTCGCCAGGCTTGTTTTCTGAGGCACTTCTAAGTGGGTTTGAACCATCAACCTTCCGGGCAGTAGTCAAGAACTTAACCATGTGTACCACTCAGGGTCAATACGGTTGCTAATTTTCTGAGAAGGGTCCGAGGGTGGTGTAGACTGTTAGTGAGCTCAGCTGCTAACTAAAAGGTCAGAGTTTTGAGACTGCCCAGAGGAGCCTCAGAAGAAAGGCCTGGCGATACCTTTCCCAATAAATCAGCCATGGAAAACCCTGTGCAACGCCGTTCTCCTCTGGCACACCCGGGGTCCACCCTTGAGCCGGTGTCAATTGGACAGTGACTAGCAAGCAGTGGCATTGAGTGGGGTGATAAAGGAATGCTCAACGAAGCAAGAATTCCTGCCAGGAACGGAATGTTTTGTGTCCCTGAAGCAAACAAAAACAAAAACAAAAAATCAATGGGGCGTTGGGGCAGGAGGCTAGAAGAGTCACTGGGGGATGGGTACCCGATGGTACAAGTCCAGGCTGCAGCACCGACGTAGGAGGTTGGGGGCTCCGGCAGCTTCAGAAGGAGGGGTGACCCTAAAGGGAGGCTGCCTGTTGCTCTGCCCCCTCTCCATGCAGACCCACGCAGATCACTGGAAAGCCCATCACGCTGGAAGCAGGGGTAGATTCCTCTGGGAGTGAGCTTAGGGAAGGCACTCCTAAGCCAGGAGTCAGCCGTAAGTCTCCTCCTCAGGCCCCCCCATCCAACGCCCCGCCAGTCTGGTCCCTCCATATCTCAGGGTCATGTGCGGCTGGATCTCAGTGGTCAACAGAAACTCCAGCGGTGGTTTTGCATGCGTCCCTCAGGCCCCAGGTAACCTTGGCTCAGCTCTTGACTGCCTTCAGCCTGGAGGGGGAGGGTAGAGATGTGGAGGAGGGTTTTCACGAGGGTTTCTGAGCCAGGCTGGAGAGGGCACAGACCCTTTCTGTCCATATCCCATTGGCTAGAGCGCCTCATATGGGCATCCTGTGTGCAGAGGAAGCTGGGATGTGTGGTCCTGCGGTGTGCCCAGCTTCCCTCCCCAGGGCATCTCAGATCCACCCACTGCTCTCCAACACCACACTCCCTCCAAGACCACCCCCAGAATCCACTCAGAGGACGTGCTCTGAACTGACCTCTCCCCTCCACTCTGAGCCTTTTCCCACGAGGTTTCGAAAAAGGTGAACCAGGCCTGTGTTTGAGGTTGGTTTGTTTATTTGTTTTGTTTACAAAGTCCCCTGGGCTAGATGACACTGCCTAACTCGGCCTCCTTCCTCCCCGCTCCAATTCTTCTGCTCTCAGGGTTTTGCACCTGCATGCCTGAATGTCCCCTCTCTCCGAAAAGTCACTCCTTCGGCTTCCTGGTTCTTTTAGCCAGGACTACCTTTCCCTCCAAAGAATGTCTTCTTCTCCTCCACACTGGCCTTAGATGGTGTGGGTTTTATTTGCTCCACAGTCCCCAGTCAGTCTCCCTTAGCAAGCTAGCAACATAGTTACACCATGGGCAGCCACCCCAGCAGGTGCTGGCCAAACCCCACGGTTTGCTGGATGACTGACTGACTGAGAAACCGATGGATCAATGAGAGAATGAAAGAATGACTTATCCAATGTCACCAGTCCAGCTAGTGGTGGGAACAGGACTCCTGCGGACTTGGGCTTGGGCAGTGCGCTCCAGATGTCACTGTTTGCAGACACCTTAGCCCCACGGCGCCACTGGGTACACACAGACAGATGTGGGAGAAGTGTGTGTGTGTGTGGGGGGGCAGGGCAGCAGCCGTGGGGAGCCCCCTCCACTCTCCTCCAGCCACCCAGAGCTGGTCCCCGCCGAGGCCC